GCCAAGTAATGACTCCAGACTAGTCTTCAGGAAGCCAAGAAGGTCAGCGCCATCCCCTCCACAGATGGCTTTCTTCCTAAGTCAGAGGTCAGACATGTTCAGGCTTGGCAGCTAAAGCAATCAAGGCCCCCACAGAATTACAGAGACTGAGCCAAGTGCTGTAACTCACTCAGTGTTATTCCACTGGGCTTCGTGTTACCGTGTTTGTCTATGCATTCAGATAGTGGAATTGCATTAAGTCCTTAGCTTGCAGAAACAAAAGTGAGTTCTAGGAGGTCTATGGTCCATTTAGACAGTTTTTCCCCTTTATTTTTAATCCTCCTTTTTCTTTTTCACATACCCCTATGAAGAATGGGTTTCTTAATAAATAATAATTCACGATGATGAGCAAACATTTCTCAGGAAGGCAAGGGTGGGATCCTCCTGTTTCTATCTTCTTGGTAGAATCTGAAATAAAATTGCTCCAAGGAGAACAAGCACCTGAAGAGTGAGTGTCAGATTTGTTCAGACCATTTTCCATTAAACTTCTGGAACTCCAAGGTCACTGGCTTGATGAGAGCATCAGGAAGAGACTGCTTGGCATCACCTGCAAGTGAACTATACCAGACTTTCAAGATCATTATTTTTTTTCTTTTTCTTTTTCTCAGAAATTCTATCACGTTTTCTTTCGATCTTATATTTCCCCCACAAGTATAAAAGATACTATATATGAATAGAGAATAATTAAAATCTCAGGTTCAAGACACACAAGCTATAAGATATGGAAAGCCATTTGCCACGCTTCATTTTTCAACCTGTGTTATTAGGACAGTGCACCACTGAAGTCTCTCTCTTATGGTTGCTTGAAGTGAGGCCTAGAATGCTATGCACATATACTGACTCATTATTGTCATTAGAGGAGCTAAGTTTTAAAATATAATTAATTTTTTAGTTAACATACAAACTGATGTTTATAGAACACATAAAATAAAGAATCAGACAATGCAGAGAATAAAAAAAATAGCATTTTCAAGTACCTTCTGTGAGGTTTCTGCTTCGATACACAGACCCCTTGGGGAGCTGCAGAAGGAAGGGCAGTTTTGAGCCTATACGGCAAGGGAAACACAGAAGCAATTTGGGTGTATTCTCTCACTAGAGTTTTGCCCCAGTGCCTGTTTCACAGTACTGCACCATCTCCGGTTCACAGAGGTGGAGAGCAAAGGCCTAGGACTCAAAGGGTTTGTTTGGTTAATCTTCTCAGAGACTCCTGGTGGCTACTGGCCCTGGCATTCTGGCTCTGAAGCACATTTTATGAGGCGGCTGTAAAGCACGTTCTAACCTAAATCAAAAATCAGCTTTCTAAGCTCTTGGTTAAGTAGAGAGCGTAAGGGTGCTAAGGCGAGAGTTGAGGTTCCCATCTTTGGTCTCGTTTATTGGTCAACACACAGAGGCATGTGAAAGGGCAGAAAGCCCAGTAGCACTTGATGACCATTAATGCCACACCGGATACGTCACAGTGGCCAGTGACAGAAGCAACTTATCAGCTGAGTCCTGCTGTCACCCCTGCCAACCACATTCCAGTATCACAAAGAGAGAAATCCAGTAATGAGCAGGCCATGATGCAGGCTGGCAAGACAAATCAGGCCAATGTGAAAGCGACTGTTAAATTGGAGCCTAGAGAAAATCTACAATGACGCAGGCCCTTCAAGGGCAATCTCTGCCCTCCATATAGTGTATGCCGTGAGAATAGTAGCCATGCCTTCAGGGCCTATGCACGAAGTGGAGAGACCCTGTTCCCTCCTGCCCCCCCCCCCCCCGCAATCGGGACTTGACAAGGACTGAGCTTCTCTATGTCCTGATATCCAGGTTGGTGGCCCAGGGCCTCCCACTTAGACAAGACATTACTTCTTTTATACTCTGAACTGAAAACAGGAAAAGGAAACTGAACATATGGGCTTTTCTGCCCAAAGAGCACATCCAGGAGAGGACTGGCTTTCTTGGAACCAACATAGCTTCAAATATAACAGCCTTCAGACAGGCCCTGACAGTCCCTGAGCCTTTGAGTCCTCCGTGGCTCCTCACTTCTGCATGGGCTTAAGACTCAGCCCTGAGCTCAGGCTGCCACTAAAGAGGCAGCAAAGATCCTCGGCACCACAGAACAGAGGAAGACACAGGTGAAACAAATCAAACAGAACAATCAGGGGTGAATTTTCAGTGTAGCCCAGCATGGAGATTTCCTGGCAGGATTTCCATTAACTCGAATGGGAGGTGTGTGGATAAATCCCTACACACTGTGCTGAAAATGTGCCTCTAAGTGCCAGGCTGCATTATGCCGGGGACAAAAACACAAACTACCTCAACCAGGAGAGGTACACACGGCTAAGGTCCCACGACTCCCTGCGGAAGGTGTCTCAAGCTATGACTGTCCTGGGTGAGACACAATGGACCCCCACACAGCCTGGGGAAGCTGACTGGGTACAGGAGGGCTCTGTGTGGCTTGCCTGCAAGCCTCGACTCTCCTTGACACAGACTTTGATTGTGGGTCGATCCACAGCTCCACACAAATGGCTTGTGTTTGCTGAAATGGTTTCTCTCCCTCGCTGATGACCTGAAATTTCAGTAAACCTTAGCAATGCATCAGGTCCACCAGAGCCAGAGGCTCAGAGGGTGACAGTGTGTGATTCATCTTGATGTGGTTTTATGGCCTCTGTAAGGTAAATGCTCAGAAGGACTCTTACCCCAGGATCAAAGGAAATAGTCATGAAATCACTTACCTTGCCTGCTTCCATGGAGCAATTTGCTTTCCAGGCCCTCCACGTAGTGGTTCTAAAACACGCCCACTCTCTAGGCTCCCCTCCTCAAAACTCTCTACCCACTCTCTTCTTTACAGAGGCTTAAGCCTCCCTGGAAGATACTTTATCTTATCTGTGTCTGCACATGGACTCATTTGTTTTTGAAACAGGACCTTTCGCCGCTCAGACTGCTCTCAGGCTCCATGTTGTGGTGGAGGCTGGCCTTGACCTGATTGTCCTGCACCTAGTGCTGAGATTACAGGTGTGTGTCACTGTGCCCCATTAACAAGGTGCACGGGATCAAACCCAGGGTTTCCGGCGTTTGAGGTACATGCTCTGCCCACACCTCTGAGCACTGGCCTCACTAGTATTGCTACACTTGTCATTTCTCTAAGCGAAGTCAGTTTTGGTTCACTGTAGTCACACTGTTCCTTCTTGCTGAATTGCCCCCCCGTGACCCCTCTGCCCACTCACCCTTCGAAGCCCGAGCCACATATTACCCCTCCCTCATCACTTCTCATAGTTCCTTTCCAGTCATCCTACTGCATCAACTCTGAACTCAGCTCTCACTTAGGTGCCTTGACTTTTTTCAGTTTGCTCCCTCCCTTCCTGTCTCAACTGCACTGTCAGCTCCACAAGACTTCCCAAATGTCCACGTCCCCACAGTGTCATCCATCATAGGCTCTTGGTATAGACTTGCTAACTATCAGTTAGGTACAAAGACCAGCCCTCATCACTGTTCTTTCTCTAACACCAACTTCTGCATCTTCTTCAGGCCACAAGGGGTGAAGACATCTGCAGGAAATGAAACTATCACCAGCAATTCTTCACTTCATCCTCACACACAACAAACAGACATGGAGTGAATGCTTTTCAAGATACTGCTCAGGTGGAATGGGCTTGACTAGGCTTCACTTGTGGCCCCAGAGCAGACAAATCTGGATGGCAATTGAATGATGAGGAGGAACTAAAGAGCACCACCGAATGCCTATGAAAGTATGCCTACACAGAAAGGCTGCAGTCAGGGACAGACAGGTGCCCGGAAAGTTGAAATGCTGTCTCAGGCAGTGACAGCCTCACTTGGAAATAGATCTGGAAATGTGGATGAGACCAAGGAGGTAGCCATGTTCTCCTTTACCCCAGTTCCCTAAAGCCCACAGTCTGAAGCTGTCTTGGTCTTATCTCTCCTCTATGAATTTGAAAGACAAGTTATGCTTCTGCTCATCTTTGATAAACTTACAGAATGAAGGGGCTGGCTTGGGTTCTTTCCGGGAAAAGGGAAAGGAAGAAGCATGGCTTAAAGAGAGCCAGGCCTGGGACCCTGACTAGGCTCCATCAGGGTCTCCAGCACTCACGATTTTAAGGAGCCCGTTTTTCTCTCTGAACAGGCTCCTTGGATCTGTAGTCCTTAGCTTCTTCTACAACATTAAGCTGTTAACTCCTGTAGGGTAGGGCTAGGCAAGGACCAGAAACACTGTACTTAGACACTCATAGTAGATACAGGTCTTTAGAAGAGACACTTTTTAGTTTATAGTGACTTCTTGCAACACCTGCTTTGCAAATGCTGAAAAGCCAGTATGTGACAGCAAGTGGGCTTTGGAAATGTCTGAGAGCTGAGTTCAAGGTGTCAGGGAAGTGTCTGTGAAGTAGCTGACAATGGTCATGAGACAGGTGAAATGCTGGGAGTTCCCAGCTTGCCAGCAGCATTAGCAGGGGAACCTAGGCAAACTGTTGATCTCCTTGCCTCAATTTCCTCCTGTTCCTCCTGATCTCCGCTGGTGGAGATTTTAATTAGTATTCGGTCTATCCTCTAGGTCCTTCGTTGGAGGGGGCTCTGAAAGCTCTAAGTCTGAAACCTTCCTGCTTTCAAGATTCCTGTATCTATTCGAAAACATAGAGAAGCAGAGCCCTTCCCCCGCCCTCTTGGTACTATTTAGTTTCTAAGTTGCTTCATCAGGAGAAAATTACTGAGTTCTCCATTTCCTCTGCTCGCTTTCCTACCGAAGAGAGTGGCGCTAACATCTTCTGAATTGTGACTAGATCGACATTGTAACAGCTAAGGGAGCAGGCCTGCTCCGCAGAACACAAGCGCACTTTCTTCTCTGAGAAAGACTGGTTTCCTCAGCGTTAAAGTCCCCTTGTCCCCCAACCCGTACCACCCCCCTCGCCTCCCCTCCCACCACCAGCTCAACCCAGATCACGTTAGAGTCCCAGAGCACAGGGCACAGTTCTCATCTGTCTGTCACCAAGGAGGCAGACGGGATGGAGAAACAACAAGTCGCTTGTACCTGAAGAGGAGGACACTCCTGGGAAACAAACAGATGAGCCACCCCACGAATCCGAGCCACGCTGGAGGTAAACAGAACTGCATGAGAAAGCGCGGGCTATCTCGGCATCGTCCTTCCCTCTCACACTGCCCTGCTGGCGGCCGAGGGGGACCTGAAATTGTAGCTGTACCCTGGGCCAATATCTGATTCTGAGAAAGTTAACCCTAGCAAAGGTGACTTGCTTTTCCCTGGGTCTCCTGGAGTCGAATAACCATCCATTTCTACTGCTGTTCTGTCATTTAGAATCTTTTGTGAGAAGTACGTTGACACGGAGAAGGGGCGTAAATTGCTTTGAGCTCGACCTGGTGTTTGGGTAGGGAACACTAACCTTTAAATAATCAAATGAGCACGGAGTACGGAGGAACAGCTCTGAGACATTTTTAGGGTACTTTTCTTAAAATGTTTGCATCATGAAATGCCACTCAGGAACACCTGTCTTCATGACAGGGGCAGGTGTCCAGTGACTGGGTCCTCAGCCCCCCAGTCGGGGAGTTGGAGCGCACTCCACAGTGGCTTGCTCAGTGTTCCCTGTTGTGAATGCTTTGATTATCCCTGATTCTGCGGGCTGAGATGGGATTATTAGTCATCGTGATGGCTGGGTAACTGGGCTCAGGAGGTGGAGCCAGGCAGGCCACACATGTGGGCAACCTCACCTCACAGAAACACAACATCTGTGGCCAGAAAAAAGGAAAACTCACAGAAGCCTGGTTGCCACCTCAGGGGGCCTTAGAGGCCAGTTTCCACAGTTTTAAGATAAGGATTAAAACCATAAAATTCATGTCTCAGTGCTGCAGAATCTGAGCTGCCATAAACCAATTATTTTTCACCCCAGGGTTTACTGTTTATTCAAAATTCACCAATACAAAATCATGGGGTTTTTTTTCAGTTTTTTATTAATTAATTCAATTTACATCTCAGTCTCTCCTCTCCTCCCAGTCCCACCCTTCCTCCTGCATACCCCTCTTCTATTCCTCAGAATAGGAGGACCTCCTTACCCAGACACCCCAGCTCATCTATTCACATGAGGACTGAGTCCAACTTCCTCCCCTGTGGCCTTGTAGGGCAGCTCCATTAGGGGGAAGTGATCAAAAACCAGGCAACATAGTCCATGTCAGAGATATCCTCCCACTCTCCTAACTAGTGGACCCACATGAGGCCCAAGATGCCCATTGGTACTTATATGTAGATGACGTAGGTCCAGACCATGCATTGTTCTTAGCTGGTGCTTCAGACTCCATAGGCGCCCCCCTGGGCTCTGGTTGTCTCTGATGGTCTTCTTGTGGGGCTGTTGTCACCTCTAGGTCCATTTATCCCCCCCCCCTTCCAGTAGACTCCCTATGCTTCGTCCAATGTTTGGCTGTGAGTCTCAGTATCTGTTTTGAGCAGTTGCTGGCTGGAGCCTCTGAGAGGATAATTCTGGTAGGCTCCTGTCTGCAAGCATATCAGAGTATCCTTAACAGTGATAGGGGTTGGTTTTCTTCCATGGGGTGGATCTTAGGAGTGGATGCACAAATCTCACTCAGAAGGGGACATAGAATAGACAGATGTAGTGATTGAAGAGTAGAAACAAGGTAGAAGAGGGAGCACAGGGAGCAGTAAGGGTGGAGATCAGACCTGGGGAGAGCAGGGAGGGGAGGGCAGAAGGCCTGCAGAGAAAAGAGAAACGGTGGGTGGGGCATCTCTGCAATAAGCTGGAGACCTAAGTCAGAACAGGCCCCTGGGAGGATATGAGGGGGACTCTAGCTAAGACTTCCAGCAGCAGGGGCCATGGAGACTGAAGAGGATACTATCTATCTAGATAAGACTCCTAGTGGACAGAGGAGATCACCAACTCATCCATAAAAACCTCACTCCAGAACTTAACCCTACCTATAAGACCTGCGGAGACAAAGACAGAGAAGAGATTGAGGGAATGTCCAGCCAGTGCTGGGTGCAAAACTATGTTTTAAAGGTTCTATTTAATGTGCAGCCTCTCGGCCAGCCTAAGAAGGACTGAGCCTCCTGAAGGTATGGCAGGAACTAGAGCATTGATACTGTCACTCCGGAAGCCCAGCAGAGGGCTGTTCTTGGGGAAGGCTAGTCTGCTCCTCTCTATGGCGGGAGGAGGCAGTGCAGGAAGTGTGACACTGATGAGCACAAGCCAGGACACATCCCTCAGGTCAGTCACAGGGATAATAATACAATATTTCAGCTAGTCACTTGCAGAATGCTGGTAAGCTGCTCCTAGGTTAGACCTTGAATGTCATCAATAATCACAGAATATATCATATCACCTAACAGAAACTAGGAAAACAAGACCAGGAAAGGGGGAAAGGACAAGTCATCAGTCACAGCGTGCCTATGTTATGAGCCATCAATCTTTACATATATCTCTTTTCTGAATTAGCCTGACATTTCCTTACAGGACATTTTCTTCCTTCCTTCCTTCCTTCTTTCCTTCCTTCCTTCCTTCCTTCCTTCCTTCCTTCCTTCCTTCTTTCTTTCTTTCTTTCTTTCTTTCTTTCTTTCTTTCTTTCTTTC